ATATATATATATATTGGGCTTGGATCGTACGTAAATGGCTTTTAAATTTTTTTAACTTCAGATTATGGTGTTCTATTTTTTTTTTCAACCCAAAACATCCATAGTATTATTTTAATGAAACATTCTATAAATGGTTAGTCTGCAAAAGTTGTTTTCTTTAGTTTGTTACTGTAGCGACACGTGTGAAAATTGGTGGAGTGTACTTCCTCCACTTGTTTATATCATAGATTTGTTTAAGAGTTTCTTGGTAAATGAATTTTCCCCAAGCATGTTTTTTTTTTCTTCGAGCAATCATGGCAATTTAACCTAGATTTGTTATTTTGTTTCCTTACATCTTTATTATTTGGGTTTAAAAAAAGTAATAAGAACCTACTACTAATATTTTCCAAGAAACTGAATGACAGACAGACATTGAGCGTTTTAAATGAAAATCCAAAATATCAATTAGAGTATGCAGATATTGAATTAGATTATATTTGAAAAAAAAAAAAAAAAAAAGCCTATTCTATCTTTACAAGTTTTTCTTTTTCACCATTTAACTAGTCTGGTTTTAAATTCAAATTTAATTCAATAAAGTATATTTTAAAGCAATTTAAATTGTACCAAGTGCCGGTGGGTCCCACTATAAAATGCTCCACGCTCCATAGATGAGATTGAGAGTACATACAAGTGAGAAATTATCAAGTTGAGAAAAATGCCATTATGATTTTTTTTTTCTTTCTTTTTTGATGCATACTTGCACTAAGATATTCCATAGCTGAAAGTTAAGAATATTGAGATACTGACTCTTTTAAGAGACCTCTTTTAACATGTTTTTCCACACGCACTGGTCTATCCAAATGAAAGGAAATTGGTTGGGATGTTACTTTAATGGATTGTCCTTTGGATTTCAGCTTGTAACTTTTGAAATCTATTCACAACCTACGTTTGTTATGTTTTTTTTTTTTTTTTAAATTACGAAATGCTGAACCTTGGATTCAATATTTATAATTCTAAATGAGTGTTAATAAACTGGTTTAATTTAATGTAAACTACAGTTTTCTTCTTGATAAATGAACTCTATTGCTCATGGTTGAGTTGTGGATTTGGATTTTCCTTTTGAGAGATGATGACTCGAGAAATTTTTTCTTTTGTCTGCATTTATCTATTGTGTAGTTTAGTCCTCATGTTCAGGTCTCTGTGGTGATTATCCTATATTAGTCTCATCTACATATAATTGGGAAAAAAAAAAAAAACAATAGAAAAGGACATAAAAGTAGAAAAAAAATGCAAATCTTTCCCGTATCCATGCTTAATTGACATTTTACACATCATTATATAAAATTATTCTGATATGTTATGAAGTAAATTACACTAATAAGATTGCACATGACTTGTTATTTATTTAACATTTACAACAATATCCCTTATAGGAGATATTGTGCAATGTTTTTCAAACTATTAATGAAGTTAATGTCATGTCTAAGACATCTTAGTTTTACAAGCCTGTGTTACATACAGTCTACGAAGTTGCATGATAAATTGCAGGTTAGTAATTGGTAGCAATTGAAATCTATGGATTTGTCATCACGGATCCATTAAGGTTTGTGTGTTAGCTGAAGTCAGATTAAGGTTGAGAAAGAATAGAGGGTGATGTGAAAATAAAGGACATAACAACATTAATTTGATTACAGAAACATGAGGCACTAAATTTTACAGTTCCACTTTACAGGGCACCAATGTTCTTAAGACCAAGAACAACCCCAACCCCAATGATGTGACCAACAGTTCCACAGGCCAAGGTGTCAGCAAGGGTGAAGCCAGCAGGGTCACCAGTCTGCAACCCTGAGTCCCTCACCTCCAGCTTTAGCCCGGCAGTTGCTTTCCTGTTTGCTGATGGAGCCAATCCAAACCTTCCAGCAAACAGCATCAGGGTTGTAGAAGCCACCATAATCTGCCAACATGTTAACATATAATTAGCTACAAACTAAGTATCCTTTAGTTTAGAAGTGATTGTGAGAGTTTATTTTTACTGAAAATAAAGAAATTTTTATAAAGGATTTCTCAAAAACACTTATGAATTTATATCTGAACAAACTTTATACAAGAAAATAAGATAAACTGAGTTAAGCTTTTCCTGGAAGATAAAATAAACATGTGGATAAGATCATGAAAACTAGTTTTAACTTTTGTGTCAGTTAATTTTACTCATAAAAAAAGCTTAATTCATTTAACTTGTGAACAATTTCTTTTCCTTTGAGTATTTAGTGAGAAGTTCATCTTAATAGAACCAAATTAAAGTGTTTTCGAAAGATTTACTTTCTTCAATGAACCTATAACCAACTTTCATGAATTCCAATAAACATGAATACATGTTATCCCTCACTTTTTTGCCATGGTAACTGAACTGGAAACTTGATGACCTAATTCACAAGATTGTTGCATGTATAAACAAGATTTTCTCATGTACCCCTCTTAAAAAAATTGAAACACTATTTATTGTGCTCCCTAAAGTCAGATGAAACAACAAAAGGAGCAATTAAGCTTTGAAATGAGCCAAACTCTTGAGATCCTACCAGATTAGTGGATGAACCAATGAAGTCACATCGAGCTCCCAAAGCACCCTTCCCCTTGCGCCTCATGGGTTGAACAGCAACCTGTCCAATGAAGAATAATGAACAAAACCAAGTTACCACAATTACATTTCAAATATAAGCAATAGACATGTTGAAGTGTGTTTTTTTTTTTTTCTTTTTCTTGCCATTAGGATCTTCCAATCTACTAGACTAAAAGAGTAATCTCATTAACCCGAAAGGTGTAAAAAGGTGTAAAATGGTTAAAGTATAAGATCATGATCAAACTTTGTGTCTATCTTAGCTTAAGAGAGACACATTATGCTAAAAATAATTAAAAAAAAATAAAAGGGCATGCTAAATATGTAAATTTAAAGGGATTCTAACCAAATTCTGCACAGGGGCAGCTGAGAATTGGGGTCTAAGACCAGTGAATTGGGGGAGAGTGGTCATCACAGTGGTTGCCATTTGTTAAAACTCAAAAGAGGAAATGAAAATGTGTTTGGTCTCTCTAAGCTCTCTTTTTTGTTTGAAATGTTTTCTGGGTTGCTCAAGGGATTTGATGTAACTTGCAAGCGTATCTAATGGCAACCACATGAACAATTTGTGGCCTCAGAAGGCTAATATGAGATGGCCAAAGATTCGTGACTCTGACGTGGCATTATCTGATTTGGGGGAATGGATAATGGATAATGTCTTAGCTGCCAGGTTGCTTCATATCTCATGTACTATTGGATCATCTCAGAAGGATTTAGGATCTCTTCATTCTAAATTTTTCAACATTTCCTTATTCTCAAATCTTTATTCTTTGCTAAATCTTAATATTAAAAATGCTGAATTCATTCTTTCGGTAAATAAATTCGAACCTCGGGCAATTTTTTTTTTAGTCTGAAAACACAAGTTTTAACTTTGATTATCCCTCCCATTTTGATTATAAGTAACAAACAAAAAAAAAATATGTTTACATTAATTAAGAAATGTAATTTACATCATTTGATTTTGTTAATTTTATCTAAAACAATAACTTATTATCTTAAAATATATTTTCTTTTAAGAATTGAAAGGAACATAAAAAATATAATCTCAATTAAATGATAGAGTATTTTAGAGATAAGAGTATTAAATAGAATGAAATTAGTTAAGATTTGTTCATGTTTGATACCACCAAACATAGAATTTTTGGTGTTTATGCAATATGTAGATATAAGATTCAAATATTTAATTTACGAATATTAAAAAAAGTACTTATAGCATCCCAAATTTTTTACTAGTATAATAGTTAATTATTATTTATTTTTATATTTATGGGGGTTATTTACTTATAGATATTTTAATGGGTTTTAAAGGATGTTTTAAATGTTTTTAATAATTATTAGTATTTTAATAATAAATTTATGAAAATTATTTTTGGATAATATTTTGATTTTTAAGTAGCCCAGAACGGGCCGTTCTCAAACTGGAACGAGCCGTTCCAAACTATTAAAATGGCCTATAAAGACTATATTAGAACGGGCCGTTCCAACTTAGGATTTTATGAGTAAAATGCGAAGCCAGAACGGACCGTTCCGTTTGGGAATAGGTCGTTCCAGAAGCGGATGTTGTAGGCTAAGTGTAATCCCAGAACGGGTCGTTCTGGTTTGAGAATGGGAAGTTCTGGATATGAAATTTGCGTAGGACGAATGAGTACAGAACGGGCCGTTCCGGGTTCGAAACGGGTCGTTCCAGATTCGAAACGAGCCGTTCTGGCCACATCTGATGCCTATAAATAGAACGTTCTGGCACTCCAAAAATGCATTTTTTCACTTTTGACCTCTTTTCTTCTATACTCTCTGAAGACCAAGGAGAACTCAGAGGAGGAGATTAGAAAGGTCTTGTTTTGGTTTCAGCTCCTGCTTATCGAGGAAAGGGGGAGTGAGAAACCTCGCTTTGGGTGTGGGAATATATGTTGGGTAGTGAAATTGACTCTCAATCCTGTGTTTGTTGTATTTTTGTATGCTCATGTATGAGAGATTTTCCCCAATTGTATCTGTTTTGCCTATTATTTTTCTTATATGTAATTAATTGTATGATATCTCTATGGATTCCTATGGGAAACCCTAAGGGAATGCATTGGTGATTGTAAGAGGCGATGGTTTGAAGAGGTAATTGTATGAGTTAATTGTATTGTTTTAAATGTTTATTGTATGAATTAGAGTGTTCTGTGGGTTGGGAACCCTATGAGAAACATGTAAAATGTGAACGTTTTCTGTTTTGCTTTATGATTGCTCCATTGTGTTCCTTGTTGAATGAGATGAATGAATATGTGTTTAGTTTTGAAAATAAACAAGTTTTGATATGAATTAGAGTGCTCTGTGGTTCCTGTGAAAACCCTATGAGAAACAGACAAATTTTAAATGTTTTTTGTTTTATCTTCTGAGTTTTCAGTTGTGTTCCTTGATGTTTATGGAGTGTAAATATGTGTTTAATTTTGAAAATAGACAAGTTTTAATATGAATTAAAGTGCTCTGTGAAAATTGTGAATGACATGTGATAATGTGATATGACAATGAAATGTGAATATAATGACGAGATATGATGATGAAATATGATGATGAGATGTGGTGATGAAATGTGATGATGAGATGTGATGATGACTATGTGATATGAGAATGAGACATGATAATGTGATATGAGGATGCATAGAGTCTTGATTGACATGCATCATGTGCATAAATGTTTTTAAGAGTACGATATGGAATACACCGCCAGAGAAGGCCCCCTAGTGTAAAAGCTTTGGGGATTAGTCCTTGGGGATAGCTTGGTTTGTAAGTCCTAGTCTCGCCCATTGTGTGCATGGGATGTATCTTGCACGGCTTAGCTATTCCGACGAGACTCTGGTAGTATGTCCTTTTAGTGAGAGTGCGTAGAGGGTGTGACCCGGCGGCATGTACTCCTAGACTACTCTTCGTGTATTGCTAGCGGCAATATGCCATGTGATATGTTACTGGTGCCACATGCATGATAAAATGTAGTTCGTGTCCATCCATGTGCATTTTAATATTTTATGATAAATTGCTATTTTTATGTCTTGAATGAGTGAGATGCGATATTATTATTAATTTATGTGTGTTATATATGTTTTGTTTGTGTTTGGTTATCCGGTGTATATTCTTATACTGTGAGCCAGAGTGAGATGTTTCTCACTCCCTTTTCTCGTGTTATTTTTCTTTGACTGTTATACAGGTAATCATCAGCATGAGGTTGAGGATGTTGGTGATGAAGCTTAGGCTTCTATGTTGGGCTTTGCTCTGATAGGACATGTGTCATCGGGGCATAGATAGGATTAGTTTAAGTTGTTCTTATTAAATTATTTTGGAAAACTTAGTTTTATTTCTTTGTAATTTTACCGGCATGTTATTTGAATTAAGTTTATGAATGTAAGCTCTTTACCTTTACGTGATTGGAAATTTGGTTTTTAATGATGAAAAATTTTATTTTTTTATAATTACTGTGTATATATATGTTAGGGTAGAGGGTGTCACACTTAATCTAGTTAATAAAATAATTTTTTCCTTTTAACATTATTCTTAAACTACTTTTCCCTCTTAATTAGTATTTATCTCACTATTAACTATTTAGAGTGCATATTCTATACTATTTCTCACTCGTAACCAATTAAATTATATGCATTTTAAAGAGTTTATAATTAATGTATTCCACTAAATAAAGATAATATATTTTAATTAAAAATATTTTATTTTAAAAATAATTAATACATAAAATACTATAAGTTGATTCTTATGTAAAAGAACAAATAATTATTTTAAATTGAATTTTATAAACAGATAATAAGGATAGTATTTAATTCGAGGGAGTATTTTCCTTTAACTTTTTTTATTAATATTTGTTTTTCAATTTTGGTATGTGATGGACGGTTTAATTATTAACCTTTTCTTAATATTTTATTTTATTTATTTTCTCTACGAGCGTAATAACATGCTTTTCAAAGTTTCATGCGGTTGAATTAAACATTTTCAGATTCTTTAAATTCGTTTTAAAGAAATTTATTTACTTGACCATTGATTTTTTTAATTTAATTGCTAATGTTTTGAATTAAATATATTTACATGTATTTATTTTTGGGTGAATTCTACGGTGCTGGTGCACAACCATTTCATGCAGTTGACCAGTCCACTAATAAAAATAGTTCTACAAAACTTGATTATTTTTTAATTGTTATAAAATTACTGTTAACTCTTATTCTAAAAATTTGGAATATTTGGTGTAAAATAATAAGATTTAAATTTAGTCAACTAAATTATTATCTTTGTTTTTTAACAATCAAATCTTGAGAACGATTTTTTTTTTCTTCAGTCGAGTAGAGTTGTAACACTCCAAATTCTTTAAAAAATAATAAAGGATTCTTTTATAATTAATAAAATGTGTTTTATAAATCATAAGACAACTTTTAAAATAATCAAGTGTATTTTATTTAATTAAAGATTTTGTAAAATTATATGATTTTATGTAAATTATTTACAAAGTTATGTATTGTATATATTTTTTAATTAAAATAAGATAAGGTTGATTTTAAAAAGGGGTTGCAACTACTTATTATTTTAAGTTTCTCATATCTTTTTTCTTTTAAACATGTAAGCCCTTGAGGAAAACATAGAGGCCACGAGAATAGAACCCAAAAATCAATGTCCTTCAACTAGTGTCAATCGAGGTAAAGGAGAAGTGAGTTGTTTCGATCTAGGACGTAGGATAATTGTTTAGGTAATGGGATTGACCTTTAATCCTTGGATAAGGTGGAATGAGTTATCTCATACTTGAATGCATATTTAGCTTTATACACGTGATATTATGAATCTATGATATCTTGTAGCAAAGTGCATGTTAGAATACAAGAAGGCAGGTTGAATTGTTTCTTTTTAAAAGTTTTCTTCTTCTTCTGTATAGTTTCTTCGAAAACTAGTTGTCTGAGTTCAAATAATTTTGATATATAATGTATTTTTTTGAAACAATTTCTATGTTAAATTATTTTTTTATTCAAAATATGGAATGATATAACAGTTAGAACAATATACTAATTAAACAAGTAAAGATAGAGAAACATAGAATAGGCATAAAGATTTATCCTAGTTCACCCTAACTGGGCTACATCTAGTCACCAAATAACCTTGTGGGCTTTTTTACTAAACGCACAACCAATTGTTGCAACAATTTCAGCCACACACTAATACAAACACTACCTCAAAGCCACCTAATATTAGTAGCAACACTCAACCACTTGCTAAGAAACTTTACTCAACTACTTGTTGAGAAAAACAACCTCACAATCATTTACTATGAGATTAATCCTAACAACTGTTGAGAAGGAATGTTTCAATTGAAGTCTTCTGTTCAATAACTTGGAATAGAAATTGTCACTAGTGCTTTTTTATCAATATTCCTTTACATATTCTTTAATTTCCTCTTAAGATGTTATAAGGACGATCTTGTGAATCTTTCCTTTTGTTCATGAAGAATATCATAACTTACAGCCTTCTAATAAGTCTTTTTGTCTTTTGTTGAAACACTTGAACAAGATCATTAGCACACTCATGGTTACTTTTCTTACTAAATTTG